AATTTCCTTAGATTCTTCTCAAACTCTTTTTGTTTTTTCGTTTCTAAGTAGGGCTCCGAGGCTACCAGTAGGCCAGTTATATGAGATGTATTCACCCTATTTCGTTCAAAGTGATAAAGGACTGGTAGTTGAATTTTCCAATAGTGATATGAATAGAGCTGATGTTTTCATTGAATTTCACATATTCTTGCCTTCTTCAAAGGTGTTTTTATCCAGGGTGGACTGCAGTTTCGTACTCGCCTAGGTCTTATCAACACTCATACGAGGTCGAACCATGGTAGTGCAGTGTGTAGTCCTGACAGGTTAACCATTACACCACATTGTCTCGAGTGCCCTTGGGCCACAGGGCAGATGTAAGTTTTAAGGATAACCAGGCATTTTCCTACATCATATTCTTAGGTGGGATTGCCGATCAAACAATGTTATATTTGCATGATCATCAATAATCTTAAACGAATTAGGGCGAATACATCTCATATAACTGATTTACTCGCAGTCTCGATGCCCTACTTAGGAATGAAAAATAAATAATGTAGTCTATTGTCATAGCAAATATAACTTTTCTTTATCAGCAATCCAACCTAAGAATATGCTTTAGGAAAATACCTGGCCTTCCTTGAAATTTACATCTGCCCTATGGCCCAAAGGCACTCGTGACAATATGGCGCAGTGGTTGACGTGTCGAGATTACACGCTATATGGTTCGACTCCCGCCAGAGATGTTTGCGAGACCTAAGCGAGGTCGAAACTGCAGTCGACCCTCAATGTGAACACCTTTTGTGAAAGCAAGGCTATGTGAAATTCAATGGAAACGTCAGCTCTACTCACATCTTTATGGGAAAATTCAAATACCAGTCCATCCCCATAAACGAAATAGGGTGAATGCATCTCTTTTTGTTTTTGCCTTAGTTGAATTTTTGTTGACATGAAGATCTATAGATTTTGTGGTTATGGCCAACATTTTTCTTTTTTGCATTGTTTTTCTTTATCTTGTTTTCCTACTCTGCCTAAAGATTTCGTTTTTTTACACTAACTATTCTCTCTATCATTGTCAGAAACCTTTTCAATTCCTCCCATTTATGCTAAATTTTAAATCCAACCTTAGATTTGCTAACCTATTCCATCCTATTAGCCTTGGCTTCTTCCCATCAAACATTTATTAAATTTTGACTATAAACTAATCATATGCTTAAAATATATCTATAATGTGAATTTGTCGAACTTTAAATCCATTCAACCATCTTTTGTCCAAGTTCAGGAAACACCTTTTTTTAATGGGCATTAGATGCCTGGGGTTTGATATGAACCTTCCATCCCACAACATAGATACCTCGGCATTAATTCGGAGATATAAAGAGAGGCTGGATTTCAAAGAGTTGTTACTCAACTTAGGCACATTTATTTACCCATTTTCTATTTTCTTCTCCTTTGTTGTCTATATCAGGAAACTAATGCAGCTTCGCGATGGGAAACTCTCCGCCTTCTTGGTTGAAAGTCTCAAATCTGAAAATCGCATGCGCAACCAATTTAATCGTACCCAGCAGCAGCAATCGTCTTATCCATCCTCACCTTCTTATTCTTCTGTTCCAATATCCGGCACGTGTGACAAAGCAATAAAAGTGAACACGGAACCCACAGAAGTGACTATTTTGCGTTCTGATAGTGGATCGAGTGGCAGGCTAACTCAGGTATAGAATTGTAATAATGCTAACAATAATCATACTTCCTGTTAAGAAAATAAGCTTATTTAAGTCTTAACAAAGGACTTACGTTACTAATTCCCGCCACAAACTAAATGCCTTATTAGGCCCTTAACCTTTGTATACCTAACAGCTTAGTTTATCTTCGTTACCTATTCATTATTCTACTTGTACTAAAGCTTTGTCTGGTGGCTGATGATTTTTTATGAGTAAATGAAAGCGCAATACTTTGATATCACCTGGTCATAGCAACAGAAACCTGGCGGATATAATTTGAGCTTAATATATGAACACTAACCTAGAGCTTATGATATCTCGATAAATTAGACATAAATGAACCCGATTAGATAAATTATCCAGTACCTTTCGACATTATATGTGCAACTTTTAAATCTAATATGGATAAATAATTAGTAGACAATTTAAAAAAGTTAATCGGCAAACCCCAGTCACCTTTGGCTGACTCAATCTGTAAAAGAAATAATTTGAGTTTCTTAAACGTTATTTAAATTCCTAGTTAAGTCAAAATTTGTAATATTCATTTTTCATTTTACTTTTAATAAGTTATATTATAATCTTGATGACTCTTGGCTATTTTTTAAAGTTTGGATTGCTCAATTTAATTGGTCAGAGGTAAATTATCGCTCAATCCCTGCGATCCTCTGATCTCTGGTGTATCAGGATTCATTTTGGGCTTAATATCTATTCCCTTTTCCAAAAATTCATTTTTGTTATATATTTAACCTGTAGATATGAGTTAGTCATCCCGGATAAGGTTCGTTCCTCTAGGTCTTCCCGCCGATATGACCAGGTTGCAAAAAATGGTCAAACAACTACTATAGAGCGAAAGAAGACAGTGAACATAAAAAGGGTCACAACATCTTGGTCTTCGTACTTTGTTTACAGCAACTATAATTTTTATAAATATAGGTGCTATACCTATATTAATCAATAGATTGTCCTTTTTGAGTTAGAAATGAGATTGCGGAAACTGCAGTGTTAAATTATTCATTGATCCTTTTTAAAAATCCGGGCTTTGGTGGCCTTCTCGATGGGACTTACGTGTAAGTGGTATCATACTCTGAGACAGTTGATGGGAAATAACACATAGTGGCACGGATATAGTGACACTGACCGGATGAAACCAGGAAATCGGAGAGATAAAATACTGATCTTCTAGCATTCGAAAGGGACTGATATAACCTGAATCAACTAGTTTGCAGACGAAAAGGCCAAGTTGGATCACCATTTCCAACACAATTGGTAAACTAGCATGGTGCTGATAGGCCTTACTAAATCCTCTCAAAAGGATTAACCTATGGAGTAGGACAAAAGAAACAAGTTAGATTC